AAAGCTATTATGTTATCTGTACTTAATACAACGTCAAAGCTATTATGTTATTTGTACTTAATACAACGTCAAGACTGTTATATTATCTGTACTTAATACAACGTCAAGACTGTTATATTATCTGTACTTAATACAACGTCAAGACTATTATGTTATCTGTACTTAATACAACGTCAAAGCTATTATGTTATCTGTACTTAATACAACGTCAGAGCTATTATGTTATCTGTACTTAATACAACGTCAAAGCTATTATGTTATTTGTACTTAATACAACGTCAAATAACAAAAATGCATTCGCAGTTGTTACTTTATCAACTTTCTTTTTGACAGCCACTATGTGTACTGAAGTTATTACATTTGCAAATGATGTTATTTCATCTGTTGCGCCTACTTTCTAAAACATCCGATTGAATGAGGTCCAACTCTCTTGCATTTAAAAAAAAAGAAAAGAAAAAATAATGGGTAAAATGTGGTACTTGTCTGACTTTGTAGCTTTGTAACGCACTAACAAACAGTTTCAGTTCAGGATCTCACACCACTGAATATAATAAAATAACGTAATAGGAGAATATATAAACACAATAACTGAACAGTAGGTGCTTGATTAATCCCCTGGAACGTAATAGGAGAATGTATAAGTACAATAACTGAACAGCAGGTGCTTGATCAATCCCCTGGAACGTAATAGGAGAATGTATAAACACAACAACTGAACAACAGGTGCTTGATTAATCCACTGGAACATAATAGGAGAATATATAAACACAACAACTGAACAACAGGTGCTTGATTAATCCCATGGAACGTATTAGGAGAACGTATTTTATTCTAATTAGATTGAAAGTAATTATTACAACAACGTCACTTTCACCCCGTGCTTATTCATACTCAAAACTGTGTTAACCTCAGCGGAACGTTGTGGGTACTCTAATTTTTGTTCATATACCATTTAAAATTGTGGTTAGTTTAAGATTCGTAACAAAATTTTTATCTTCTGCACCCTATCTTGTAGTGATGGTGAAAAAGATTTTATAACTGTATTTACACCTACTTCTTACTATCGTGGAATAGTCAAAAACATTTTATAAGTGGATTTCACCTTTAACTTACCACCGCGTGGAGCTGAGGATTGAATTTTTACATATCATATTTGATGTTATGGGTGAATGCTGTAAAAGAAGAAAATACCATCATAAACATTAATTCAATTGCCCTTATGATCCACCAGGGACTAACTCAAGCCCAGATTGTTTTTGTTTTTTTGACAGAAGATTGAATTGCAAGAACGCGGTGGACAACGAAAGACACGAAAGAAAGGAAGAATGGGTCCACAGTTGTAACAAAGGCGTTGTTTGTTTAGGTATGGATTACATCGGAAGTTTTAAAAAAATTCCAACACTAGAGCGGAGAAGGGTTTATTTACACGCGTTTGATTTTTTTCAACAGTTCCCATCGTTAAATTCAGCTGGTAAGAATCAAACCCCCAATCTACTCATCTTTCGCTACACACGCACCATTCTTATCTATAAATATTGATGTTTTTTTACAATAAAACAAAGTTTGATTTATTTCGTCTTTCTTTTTTTTTTTCACTGAAATTCAGAAATGAAATTAACAAATACATAGTTTGTTAGTTTTTGAATTTCGCGCAAGGCTACACGAGGGCTATCTGCGCTAGCCGTCCCTAATTTAGCAGTGTGTAAGACTTGGGCTACTCTTTTACCAACGAATAGTGGAATTCACCGTCACATTATAACGCCTCCAAGGCTGAAAGGGCGAGCATGTTTGGCGGGACGGTTATGTAATGTACAGCCAATCCCACTATTCGTTGGCGGTGGGCGGTGTTGACTAGTTGCCCTGACCCTAATGTATCACTTCTAAATTAAGGGCGGCTAGTCG